CCCGTTCATTGTCTAGGAGAAAAGGAAAAAGTGTGAGACATGAATATTGTCAAAGGACAGTAAGTAATGTCAAAGGCAGAGCTAAGATCTGAAACAAAGTTTGTGTTTATATCCTGCTCTGTGGTTATTTAAACTCTGGAAGATTTTGTCAGTGCTGTGGTACAAATTACTTGTAGAAAAAGAAATTGTACTGAAGTTGCAGCCCTAAGTTAGGAAATAATGTGCATAAGAGTTTTGCGGTATGTCAAGGACATTAAGAATTCAGGCTGCAAAATAATAGTCACTTGAACGTTTTTTGTATTCTCCACAGCAAATGCACAGCCACTAACTACTTGTTAATGTGATGCTAAAATTGGAAAATTGATTCAGGTTGAAGATAATCTGTGCAGAGTGTTTCATCAGTTTTGTTTGTGTACAGAATCCCCAAAGGGGAATGCTTACGCAGGTCTTTCACAGCCCTGGAGTAATCGTACTGCATCTGTTAGAAGAACAGGAGAAGAAGGATGGTCCTTGTATGTTGTTTTATTTCAGAATCAGCACCTGACAAATGGAGTCAATTTGTATCTTTAAGAATACATTCAGTAATTCGCTGGCCACATGCAAAGTCAAAGTATGCTTACCTTGCACTGCAGATACAATGGATTTGGCTGGAAAAGGAGGAGTCTTTTTTTGAAAACATGTCACTTGCATGATCAAAAAAGTTTACAAGTTATAATGTGTCTTGCTTTGTAAGAGGCATACCTGTTTTTTTTTTTTCTGATATAAGATTGTCCTCCTTTGGCACCTGAGCTTTGAACAATGACTATTCATACTCTATTTTCCACTTTTCTTGATGCTTGTAAGATGGAACCAACATAGCTGTTTGTGAGAGTGAGTGGTCAGTGTTTTGCTTTAGGACTGTTTCAGTCTGTTTGCTTGATATATGGTGTTTATTCTCCTTCAGACATTTACTTTTGCAACATAACTAAAAATAATTGTTCTTTCATATGTAAACTAAACCCTGGGTTTCTGAGCAAATCAGATAATAAAGATGTAACTTTTTGCACTTAGTAATTTTCAGCACATCTGAAACAGGTGGTTTTTTCAGTGCAAAGATTGAATTGTTACTCATTACAACATTGCTTTCAACTTGTTTGACTTTGCCACTGTGTTCCCATATTGCTGTCAGACTCTTTTTCATCAGCTAATAACATAAAAATCATACACATAAATTTTATCTGTCTATAGATGAAAGGTGTGTATGTGTATGGATATGCATATCACATAGAAAAATGTTACAGATTGAAGTTACTACCTCAACTTCTGAATGAGATCAAGCGGTGTTGAAAATACTAAGCTTTGTCATAAACAGTTATTCTTCCTGAAGACAGATCAAAGATCTTTAAAGATAGTTGAAGAAAAATACAATATTTAGTTTCTTGTCATAGAGCTAGATGAAGATGACAGCTCTACAGCCACTGAGAAATCTGCTAATGTAAGGTTTCTTGTGTGCATCATATGCATCCTTCTGATATAAGGGCTCATTGTAAATTTATCCAGTTTTCACTGTAGTTGTTCAAGCTCTCTGCAGGATGGAGGGCCAAACTCATTTGTTTTCTTGTACAGATAGACAAAACCCTAACTGATGTTTTGCAGATTGTCTCCCTTGTCTTCTATCTTTTTTAATGGAAGAAGTTTCATCAAGGTTCATAACTTGAGATAATCTGTTTCTAAACAATTTTTCTAGAAAGCATTATATCACGGGGGAAGTTTAAAGCTTTAATTTGTTGCTGGTGACTTCCTCTTGATTTCTACAATTCTAGTAATTTTTTTTTAATAGGTTGTGGTTTGGGCATTCTCTGTTGTTGTTGCTTTGTGGTTTGGGTTTTTTTGGTGTTGTTTTTTTGTTTTTTTGTTTGTTTGTGGTTTTTTTTCCTTTTTCTTTTTTCTCCTGTTTGTTTTTGTTTTGTTGCCTTGGGGTTTGACCATGCAGTTTGTGTGGTCAGACACAAACTGGCCTTGTCAGAACTCATAGAAGAATTAAGTGGTGCAGGACCAGAGTTTTACTTAAGGTTTTTTTTTCCCCACATTTTAACTCTGCTTTAATATAGAGGAAAAGTTAGTAATATTGTAAAAGGCAATTAATTGGAAAGTGCAGGAGTTGATTTAGCAAAGACATAGTATTCCTGATCTCTTGCATACACATAGTTCCTAAAATGTTTATGCATGGTTGTACAGAAAATTACTTTGGCTGATAGATGAAGTTAAAAAAACCTGAAAACTTTTTTCCTGTAATAAATATTATTATTAGGACTTCTTTTTTTTTCTTTTTTTTTTTTTTTTAATAGCACTGATACTTCAGTAAACTATTTTGGGACCAGGTGGTCATATAATTTGCACAGCCAATACAAAAGAGAATGTTTGAAGAAGGATTTAAACTACCCTTAAGTTACAAGTGCACATTTTTTTAAGGGTGGATGCATATACAGGAAATGAATCACTGTTGTGACAACATTCTTCAGAAGAAACAATAATTA